CCCATACAGATGCCAATGGCTGGCTGTGTTACAGTGGTGCACCTCCCTCCACACAGAAACAGGAGGAGCGGGAGATAAATGTTCCCTTTTAATGTCCCTGGAAAGATGCACAGGACACTGAGGAGAATGGCTGCCTCCAGAAAGGGGACTGGGAGACATGTGTATCCATTGGTAGTGATGAGACTGGTGTGTTGGCAGAGAAGGGAAACTTATTTTGTATAAATATTAAAGTCACTTTTCTAATTTAAAAATTCATGGGGCTTCGTGTGCTTATATATAGTTTCCTCTGAGGTCAGTGATGAGAGGTCATTGTTTTACCCCATTTTACTTTTTACTGGAGATCTGAATTCCCAGTGTCACCATGAGAGAGTACTAAGTAACTGACATAATGCTTCTGTATTCCCTAATTTTCATGGGTGCGCAGTGGTTTAAAACAGTCTCCATCCACACTTTTAAGTTCCCATATATTCCTCTTATCCTGGGCTTAAAGCATAGCCCCTTCCCTTCCTATGAGCCTATTCCTGATGTCTAAAATTTCCGAGACAAATCCTTCCGACCCCTGGCTTAAAGCAGTGCTTTTCAGACATCTGACAGGCATTTAAGAACAACTATCAGGATTTTTACTAGCTCTGAGGTCCACATTTTTATAAATAAGCTTTTCCTTGGGGCCAGCAAGATAGCTCAGTAGACTAAGCGCCTGTTTTGGCAAGCTCAGGGACAAGGGTTCGATCCACAGTCCTACATGCCATGCTGACCCCGCCCCACCCCTGGGGTGTGCTGAGCCAGCGGCAGAGTCCGGGTGTGGTAGTGTACGCCTGTAATCTCGGCACTGGGGAAGCTGAAAACAGGAGGGTTACCATGAGTACGATTGTGTAGTGAGACCCTGTACCAAATACATAAGTGGGAAAAAACCCAAGGTTTTTTCTTAAGTAAACCAGTTCAAAAGTTTAATAATTTTTTTTCTGTCTGTCTTTTTGAGACAGGGTTTCACTATGCAATTCAGGCTGACCTTGAACTCACCTGGTAGCACACGCTGGCCTCAAACTTGCAGTGATCCTCCTGCCTCAGCCTCTAAAGTGCTAAGATTATAGGAGGTGTGCACCACCACATCTGCCCAATAAATTTGTTTTAAAAGCATACCTTATATCACCACTATAAATGCTATTACCATAAAAAACAAGGAATAAGTAAACTCAAAACAATGCTATTAAGTTCTAGCTGTAAGCTATGGCCTAGCCAAAGCTTAACCTTTTCTTTTTTGTGAAATAGGCAAGCAAACAAACAAACAAAAAATAACAAGAAAAACCTGGCAAGTTGTAGAGACAGCTGAGTACTGAACTGGGTCTTCTTCGTAGGTGCTCTTAGGGCTGCGCAGGAGCCTTTTCTCTCTGTGTGCTTCAGGGTTATTTAATGCCACAGCAAAGCACGGTTCAAACCCATGCACTGTAATATTTGAATTCCACACTTTGGAACTCATGCTTTGAGGGAAAAATAGGTTAAAGCTTTCTTCTCCTTCTCTAGAAAGTTTCAGTTTTGTGTCCACATCCATTTGTGTCATCTGGGCTGGAGAATACGTGGAGCCATTCTTGTCCTGGGACTCTGGCCCTGGCGAACTTGACCTTCGGCATTCCGACTGATGTTAGAGTAGCGCGGCCTTCAGTGTGGTTTGTGAAACAGTTTCCAAGCTCAAAAACGCAACTATTTTGAGGCAGCATATGAGGGCAGCTGAGAATGATGCAGGCGTAAATAAAGGGGGATTTGTCTGTGTGAAAAGAATTGGAAGAATCTCTGAGCTGCCTCATTGGGTTTTCCCAAGTGGCAATGCGCAGAGCTGCTCCTGGGACCTCCCAGGCTGAGTGTGAGAGCCACACAGCCGCAGGCTCCCTGGGATGAGTCGGGGTCTCGGGGAGCAGCCCCTGTGTGAGTCCAGGAGGAAATCTGGTGAAGGAAGGGTGGAAGGATTGTGCAGTGTATGCCCATGAAAGGAGGAGGGAGACAGTGGGTAACAGAAGACAAGCTTCATTGGTATTTTCTCAGAAATACCAAGCAGGGTGTGGTGACACACACTGGTAATCCTAGCACTCTGAGGCTGAGGCAGGAGGATTCCAAGACCTGTCTAGGCAACTTAGCAAGACCTGTGGGTCGGAGAGAAAGAAGAAAAGGAAGGGGAGAAGGAAGAATGGGGAAGGAAAGGAGGGAAAGAGGGAGAGAAGGGGGTGGGGGGAGAAAGGAAGGAGAGAAAAAAGAGAAAGACTGGGGGTGTAGTTCAACACCAAGGTGGGTTCAACCTTCAGTATCATCTAAAAAAGAAAAAAATCAGCAACTACTCAGCTGATTGGGGTTAAAGTTTCCTGAGCAGTGGGCCATCTACGTTATGTCCATGTAGCTCCCCAGCCATGCCACAGCACCCTGGGCCTTGAAAACATGGTGCCAGATAAAGACAGACACAAAGAGCACATTCATGAGATCCCACGTGCACAACGCGTCCAGCTTAGGCAAATCCAAAGTATAGAGAGCTGTTAGCAGCTGCCAGGGTAGCAAGGAGAGGAAGTGGGCAGGGACTGCTGAACAGGCACAGTCCCCTTCCAGGTGGCGAGACGTTCTAGACGGTGAAGATGAATGACAAACTCCCATGGATAGCAGATTCGATACTGTGTGTGTGTTACTACAATAAAAATATGTCCCCCTCCATTACTTTTGTAATCACAAATCACAAATGTTCTGTGAATGAAGCTGGCAGACCATAACTAGCGAATCAAAGCTGAGGTCAACAGTAGTAGGACAGTCTCACAGAAGGGACTTCCTGGTGGGAATACTGAGGATGCATTACTTAGGTTACTTTCTTGCCAAGGAAACATTGCCCGAATGGGATTGTGGGAAAATGTGAAACACAAATTGGCTGGAAATTTCATCCAATAAATGATCAATATTCTTAAGTAATATCAATGTCATGAAAAACAGGAAGAATGAGGAACCATTCCAGTATGGACACCAAGGAGACTTGGCAAGAAAATGCAGTTCATCATCTTGAATTGGGTTCTGGGGAAGGAAAAAGGAATGTTACGCAGAGGGTTACTGGGGAGATTTGAATGTGGATTACAGATACAATATAGGATTCTATTATAGCTCTTAATTGTGGTACCGTACTGTGGGTCTGTAAGACAATGCTCTTGTTTTTCAGAATTACACATTCATCTACTTTGATGTAAAGAGGTTTGGTTTTAAGCAGCTTATTCTCAAGTGGCTCAAAAGCATATATTGTGTGTGCACCTACAGGTGTTCATTATTCCATTTAAAATGGGGCTAAAATTTTATCACAATGACAACATGGTCTGATTTGGAATGTAGCTTTAAAAATTAATTTTATTATCTATAAAGTATTTGTCATAGATTCTGATTGCAAATTATTGGAGTGGAAGAAGAGTGAACCAAGTGTTGATTTTAGGGGCAGGGGGCTGTATCTTCCAGTCAGGTCACCCATGAGACATCTTCACTGGACATTTGAGGTTGTTGACAAAGAAGATGATGATCATGTTTATAAAGATGTTCAGAGATTTCATCAACGTCTTCAAGTATGACTTTCAGTTTTTGGTATTCAGAGCATTCTTTTGGATGCTTTATTCCATCCATATCATCTCTGTTTATTTAATTTTTTCTTCTCTTATTGCGAACTAGCTCATCTCAGACCTGTTCTCACAGGTGAATGCCCTTGGTGCCCTTTGAGCAAATCCAGTGTCACTTTCATCAGATTGGTGTAACTAGTTCTTTTGCAAGACCTCTAATTTCACTTGGCCATCACTCCTCCTTACAGCAATCCTCCTGACTCAGCCTCCCAAGTGCTGAGATTGCAGGTGTGCACTATCATACCTGGCCAATAAATTTCTACGTGAGCCAGATTGTACCTGATTCAGATTATTTTACTAGAGTAAAAAAAATTACTCTGCACTCTCAGTGGCTTTACATTCAAAGGCCTATTTCTCAGTATGTCTCTGCCAAGATATGAAATTTCAGTGTGGTATTATTCTTCATGCGTATATGTGGAAGACTCACAACTGATCTTACATGTTCACCCTGAAAATGACATATTGCCTCAACCTATCAGCAAGGGAGTCTGGGAAATGTAGTCTTCTTGTGAGGTCAGTGAGGGAGGAGAAATGGCCACTGTCTACTACCTATTGTATTTTTATTTTATGAGCCAGTGTTGTTCAAACGTGGATAGATATTAAGAGGAGCAGTGTTGAAGTAGAGAGTGAGTTTTTAAGTGATCAGATCATTCATAAATACCTTTGTATTTTGATCATTTCTGCTTTGTTAGAAAGCAGGGTTTCTGATAATGAAAACTCGTATCATAATTTCCTGGGATAGAGGAGATTCAGGAATAGCATTTATCTGTCTGTGCTGAGTGACTGAACCTTGGGCCTCAAGCATGCTAAGCAAATGCTGCACCGCTGAGCTACACTTCCACCCAGGAACAGCAGGTTTGCACACTGAGCGGCGCCTTGACCCTATGCCTGCAGTTCGCTGGGGAGGGGCAGTGTTTTTCTGTGTTAGGGCTTTTGATGGGTCCTTATCCTTTAGTCCTACAAAAAAATTCATGGTGCCCAGATTCAGCAACACCTCTGGCCAGAAGCCAGTCCTCTAAAAGTCTCCAGGGGAGGGGAGATGGAAAGAGCTATCTTTTATTTTCCTAAGGCCCCATTAAAAGTTGTTGATTTATAGCTGAGCGTTGTGACACATGCTTGGAATCCAGGCATTCAGTTAGCTGAGGCATAAAGATTGCAAGTTTGAGGTCATCCTGAGCAACTTAAAAGACCTGTCTCAAAAAATGAAGCAAGCTGGGGAGATAGCTCAGTAGAATAAGCGCTTGCCTGGCAAGCACAAGGGCCTAAGTTCAATGCCCGGGTCTGCCAAAAACAAAACACAAAAACAAACAAAACAACATTTGCTCATTTTTCTTCTGAATTGTGTTCTGTTGCTGAACTTGTCCCTCCTCCTTTCAGCACGTCCTTCTCTGGGCTTCAGCGTGACACCTTGGCCCACCCTGCCCTGCGAACATGTTGGTGCTTCTTTTCTTCATCATTGCCTTCCACATCACCTCCGCAGCACTGCTGTTCATTGCCACCATCAATAATGTGAGTTCCTGTTCCCACTGATCACCTGGGCCCTTACACAGTACAGTCAATAGAAGCAAAACAGAGAACATAGTTGACTTGAGGGTGATTTGGGGATGTCCCTGGAAAACTGTCTCCTTGGCTTCTTTATTGGCTGACCCATCACTGAGGCATAGTATGTGACACCCACAATTTGAAACAGGAGAGTGTAAGTTGGCTCATGGTTTGGGGGATCCAGCCATGGCCCTCTGGCTCCGAGGTAGGAGTGTCATGGTGGAAGGGCCTGGCAGAGCAGAGCTGCTTGGATTACAGCAGCAGGGAAGCAGGGCAGGGCAGGGGGACAGTGCCAGAAAGGAAGGTACGAAGGAGCTGATACAGACCCCAGGGCCAGGCCCCGGTGCGTGCACTCCAGCAGCCCCTGGGTGGCTCTCACGACAGTCAAGCTGACACAATCACGCTTAGCCACCACAGCCTCTGTGTGGGGCCTCTATATATAGCACCGTCTGTTCAGATTTGGACTGTAGCATCTAGAAGATAGATACAGTCCTGTGTTCTCCCCCCGGCTGGCTCCCCCTGCTGAGCTGCAGTGCTGCCTGGCCCTGGGAAGCCCTTTGAGGACTGTGTATCAATTCAGCTCGCCTGCAGATCTAGGCTCTTAGCTTTAAGACTGTCATCCTCTGGGGTGGATATTGCGTGGTTCTGGAGGCTGCCTAGCCCCTTGAATGGGCTTAACAGCATGTCACTTGATGCCACTAAGACCACTCCTATTTATAAAAATCTCTTTAGACATTGCCTGCTGTTCTACAGAGAGCAAAATCACTAGGCCCCCAGGTGGTCCATCTCAGGCTCCTCCTAATATGTCCTTACCAGCCAGGAAGCCTGGCTTACCTGGCCATCCAGGGCTCACCGTGCAGAGCTCATGCACAGAACTTTCCAGACTCTCCACACGCCCCACAAGAATTTAACTCTTCCCTTTAGTATCCAGCTGGCAGCCATATGGCAGGAGCATATTTGATAATCTCTTGGTTTACATTAAGATCCCTCCAGGCAGGAAGTGAAGCTTTTAACAGAGATCCTCTTGGGCCCATGCCCTGAGCCAAACACCTGGCTTCAATCCTGATCAGTGCAGCCTGCACAGATATTTAAGGGGCTGAAACACTACCTGGAAGGTCACCAGCTCTGCCCATATAAAGTCCCCTGTGACCAATCGTCTCTAAAGCAACATCACTTGCCACTTGATAAAGCCTGACCACCATGGCCCGCATCAATCCTATAGTGACAGTCACTTCCGGATGAGGGAACTGAGCCTCCGGCAAATCAGGCCCTTGCCAGAGTTTATACTGCAGGATTTCCACACCTTGGAGGCAGCAGGGCCTAGATTCTGTCAAGGGAGGTGGCCCCATCTTGGGCCCCAAAGGTTCCTTCTGAGCTGCCCTGAGTGGCCTGAGTAGAGACTGGATGCTGTGCCCCATCAGGGGGTCCATAGTATGTGAAAGAAAAGAAATAGGATATTCGCCTAGAATCCCCTTGGTCTGGTCCTCTCCTTGTATCCTTTGGGATGCTGAAAAGCCCCCAGACTTAGTGAAAAGGGTAGGTGGGCTTTGGGAGCAGGCATCTTGCCCTGCACCCTCTTACTGAGGAGACAGTGGGGGAGATGGTGCTCAACTTCCCAGCTAGACCTCTAGGATCCTTTGCAGACCCGCTGGCTGGGAGGCTGCGCCATGTCTTTAGGGTATGGGCAGCCGGAGGAAGGCAGCCATCCCTGGCAGGCGGGGCACGGAATTCTCGGAGAGAAATAGGAGCTCTGGGCCGAGGCCGGAGAGTTCCCTGTCTGCGCCTCTGTGCACACGCTGCCCTCTCCACATCCTCCTTTCTAGTGGGACCCCCTCTCTTAGTATCCTCAGCTCAGCCACGCCCCAAAAGGGCCTGCGAACTGTCGTGAACCCCGTGGTTCCCCCCACAGACCTGCAGTTACTTAGACCTCCAGCCCCACCCCAGGCCGCCTGCTCAGCGTCTACCCTGAACAAGAGCCCTGGTGCCTCGCCTGCCCCTGCAGTCAGAGAAGGATGGGGCGCAGTGTTTATATGCGAAGAAGTCACACGTGTGGTGCGACGCGCGTGTGCGCCCCAGTGATCACCATTCCTTCTCTCTGCTGCCATCTCCCCTTGCAGGCCTGGTGGGTAGGAGAAGACTTTTCTGTCGACATCTGGAAGTTATGCCTCAACAACAGCAGCAACACAAACTGTACAGATATCACTGCCGAATTCGCAGGTGGGTGTGGCCGAGCGGAGCCGGGGAGGAGCCCACAGGGCAGGGAGCCTCGGTGAGCGAGGTGGGGGTGCTCTGACCCCACCGGCTCCCGCTGGGCTCCCGCTGGCTGCCTCTGCTTGGCGCCTCCCGGAATAGAGGCAGAGAAGCTAGAGTCGCAGCTCAGCACCCAAGCTCGAGGCGATGGGGAAGCGCACCCTGCTGAGGGCGTTGGGGACTCTTCCTCCTGCCGGCGGCGCAGGACTCTGGGAGTTCTGCAGAGAGGGGTCCCCAGCGCCCCGCCCCTCTGTCCCTCTGTCGCAGAGTACTCCACGCTGCAGGCGGTGCAAGCTTCCATGATCCTTTCCACGGTCCTCTGCTGCGTCGCCTTCTTCATCTTCCTCCTGCAGCTGTTCCGCCTCAAGCAGGGGGAGAGGTTCGTCCTGACCGCAGTCGTTCAGCTCATGGCATGTGAGTTCTGCAGGAAGAAAGGAGAGAGTAGCGCCCATGGCATGCAGGGCTTGCGCGTTCCCTTGGGGAGTTTGGATTTTTCTTTTAGAGGGGGGAAGCTGAGGCTGGGAAGCCCAAGTCTGGGATCAGACAGGAGGAGGAGCTGCTGTCGACAGTGTGCAGAGGACTGAGTATGCAGGGCTGCCTCAGAGCTGGCCGGTGCAGGGTGGGCCAGAGTATGGAATCTGGGGCTGTGGGGGGAGGTGGGCCAGACGGGCAGGCGTAGAAAGGCCCGGAGTCCGGGGTCATGACCCTAAGCAGTGGGAGGCCACCGAGGAGCCTAAGCCTGTTTGGGGGCTGCAGTGCTCACTTTGGGCCAGGCCTGTGCAGAAGAGCAACTCACAGCCTTGTTGCTGGAAGAACTTAGATAGCAGATGTCCCAGAGCACGTTTTTTCCTACCTGTGAAGTTTAGCAAGGCTGAAATTAGATGAGGCCTTGCCATGTCAGGATCATGTGTGGTTGTTTTAATTAGGCTGACCACACAAGGCCTCTTGATGGGCCAGCCTGTAAGCACCGCCTGTTCAGGGGAGAAATCAGCCCCTTGAGAACTATCAGTGCTCTGTTTCCTGTCTGTGAATACTGGCACTGCAGGTGTTTCAGTGAGGCGCCTGCTTTGGGTGCATGAAAGAGAAAACCCAGTGAATGACTTCAGTCATGAGAGTACTTACTGTTTTCACATGACTAGATGCAGAGTTGGTTGGAAGATCTTCAGCATCAACCACCCCAACCTTTTCAATCCTATTCTGTCATGTTAAGAGTATTGATGATGACCCCCGCATGGTCCTAAAAGGGCTGCTGTGGCACCAGACATTCCATCCCGACCCGACCATATCTAAAGAAGCAAGCAATTAAAAATGCTTTCTTGTCTGTCATCTCTTTCCAAGGAATAATAATTTTCACTGGAGCACTTTCTGTGGCAGGAACATACAAATCCATAAATCATAAAAAGTAAACAGGGTTGGCAAACTACGGCCCATGCTTTTTTAAGGTTGTATTGGGACACAGATACTCTCATTTGTTTATATATTGCCTATGTTGTCATCTCAGTCCAGTTGCAGAGGAAAGTAGTTGTGACTGTGGCCCCAAAAGTCTGGACTATTTACACTCAGGCCCGTCATAGGACAAGTCTGCTGACCCTGCTTTAAATCAGATCAGACCTATCTTCTGGTACCCCCAACAAAACTGAGTTCAGGCAGCAGTAACAGGAAAGAAAGTAGCTATAAGGTAGGAGCAGTGCTCTGCCACAAAATATTAGGGTCATGCCCCCAAAGGACTGAAATAAATGCAGTCTGATGTTAAGTGTTGACTTCTGTCTTCGGCTCTGGCTAGATGCGACTGACCATGGCACTAGTAGAATCCTGCTTTGAAAGGGCTAGCTAGGAGCTAGGGAGATGGCTCAGTAGGATGAGTGCTTCCCTGGCAAGTGCAAGGGCCTGAGTTCAATACCTGGTTCTGAAAAAAAAATGCCAACCAAACACCTCAGTGGATTAAAGTGCCTGCAAGCAGGCGCAGGGGTCTGGGGTTCAATCCCCTGGCCTGTGGTGCCGGCCCCATTCCTGGGGTGCGCTGAAACAGCAATTGAGACTGTGCGTGGTGGTGCAGGCCTGTAATCCCAGCTCTTGGGAGGCTGTAAACAGGAGGATCACTACAGGTGCAATCTAGTAGCGACACTGTGAACACCGTTTGACCCTTTGCTAAAATACAAAAAGAAAAAAAAAAAAAAATCCTGCTTTGTTCCCAACAGGTCTGTGTGTCATGATCGGGGCTTCCATCTATACTGACCGCCGCCAAGATATTCACAACAACAACTTTATCTACGAGAAGACCTCAGAAGGCAGCTACGGCTACTCGTTCATCCTGGCCTGGGTGTCCTTTTCCTTCACCTTGATCAGCAGCCTCATGTACACAATCCTGCGGAAGCGCAAGTAGAGTGGGGGGAGCCTGCTCACTGCAACACCAAATCCACACCAGATAACCATTTTGTATATAATCATTTTTTGTGGTTTTTCTAGCAAACGTATTGTTTCCTTTAGAAGTCAAAAGGAAAAAAAAAAAAAAAGTGGAGAGAGTTTTTGCATTTTTGAGATCAGAGAATAGGCTGGTATTCAGAACTCCTGCCCACCCAAAAGTCTCGGCAAGACAAAGGCATAATCCAGAGAGTGCTGGGCAGCACATTTCTTAATCTTGGGGCTGGGTGGGGGGTGACAAGAGAAGGTGGGGTCCCTGGGAGGTGTTTCCTGTCAGGTGTGGCCTCACCTCTCCATTCTTCTCCTCAGCTTCCCTTCCTGAGTCTCTGTCTGAGGCGGAAGGGGTGCTGAGAAGGGACCCAAGTAAAGAACAACAGTGTCCTCAGATGTTGAGCCCAAGTTTGTGTGACAGCCAGGGGCAGCCAGGCCCTGATGCCCTGTCTACAAGGGAACCAAGGCTTGCGCCCTCCTGCTGTGGGGTAGGGTCACCACCCAGATTTTCTGTCAGTGTCTTTTGCTTGCCTTAGGGACGGTGATCCTCCACAGGGCTGTCAGATTTAGGCAAAAAGCTTCCACAGTGATTCCTTATAGCATCTTTTAAAATGCAGGCTCCAGGTCCACTCCCAGACCATCAGCATAGATCTTCAAGGGACCGTCCTGGGAATCAGCATTTCTAATAAGATCTTTGGAAGATTCTGGGATGCACTAGGGTTGGGAACCATAAGCCCCAAGCCTGGTGAGCAGGCTCTTAGCAGACTTGTGTTGAGCAGGCCCCGCTCCTGGCTATACCTTGCCTTCTGTCAGCTTGGTTCTCGCTGTCTCTTCCACAGCTGTTTACATCTGGGCCACCCGGGCTGCACACCCAGGCATGTGTCCCAGTGGCCTCGCACCTCTCACAGCCTTCCTCCTTCTCTTCCTGCCCTGCACCACAAGGCTGGATGACTCTGTTAACCCCTATCTTTGCAGCCCTAAGGGACCATCCACCATTCATTCATTCATTCATTCATTCACTCATTCATTCATCACCATAGACTCTGGTAGACTTGCTATGTGCCAGATGGCAGGCATACCCTCCCAAGACTATCTCTGTCCTCATGAAGCTGAGTCTTATGGAGGAAAGAGACCAGTTAGGAAGACGGATTATAAACTCAGATGGAGCTACAACTGGTGATTCAAAACAGGCCCTGAGGTTGGGAGGAGCCTGCTTTATGTGCACCTGTTTTTAAATGCTCCAAGGCATTGGACTGGCCTAAATATAGCTCCAGTCAGCTCAGACAGATGGCATTTTTTGGGCAGTGCCTGCATGTATTATACCCAGAGAATACTTCTATGGAAGACCCTCAGGGCCCCACAACGAATCAGGCAAAAGAGGATCCCCAGAGGCAAGGCTCTGGTATGGTAGGATCTTTGCCTAAAGTGCCCACCACACTTTGTCCCCAGGTTGCCTCTCTGTAATGCTGCAACTCCACAATGCAAACAAAGCTAAACATCTTGGATCCTAACTCCCAAACAGTGTATGAATTCCCTTCACAAAAAACCCCTCAGGGCTGCAAGTTATCTGTGTCCATACAATCTAGAATGACCTCAGGGGCTTTCCCGGCTGGCTGCCCCTCTGTCTGACATTCAGGGCCCACATCCATCTGTGACGCTGAGGTTTGTGGGGATGTGAGAGATGCTGCTTCCCTGCTGTGTCACGTGCATTTGGGAAGGTGGAGGGAGTTGATGATGTCAGGGAGAAAATATCCATCCATCTTCCCTGTAGGTGAAATCAGCCCTTAGTTGGTGCTTGTCATCAGCTATTCAAGAACAACAACCAGATTAGCTAAGACATCCAGGAAGGAAGTATTAGGACCAAATTTATAACTGCGTTTGAAGGAACTGTAGTTTGCGCATCTTATGACCTTTTTTATAAAGTACTGTAATTCTTTCACTGGGGGGGCATGTGATGGAGGCAGACTAACTTGTTTTGTTATTTGCATTAAAATTATTTTGGGTCTCTGTTTAAAGGAGTCTGATTCAGAATGCTTGGTGTATTGCTGCGTGTGAGTGTGTGTGCGCAGACGGGCCAGAGGCTGCCTGGCTCCCGCCCTCTGCTGCAGGTTACCAGCCTGATGATGGAGGAACCTGGAACCCTAAGCCCCCACATAAACACAGAAGCCTCTGCCGGGCTTGGTGGCGCATGCCTGGAATCCCAGCACTCAGGTGACTGAGCCAAGAGAATCTCTGAAGAGTTCCAGACCAGCTTGGGGGCTGCAAAAGTGAGCACAAGCCCAGCCCGAGCTGCATAGTGAAACTCCGTCTCAAAAAACATATATATAGGGCTGGTGAGATGGCTCAGTGGTCTAAAGCACCTA